CCACAAGGAGACCATTGCATTTTCTATATTTTCTCCTTAATTAGCATAAATTATCTCAGGTAAATGAAGGCAGTGTTATAAATGGTTCTCTTAACCATATTTATCATATTTTCTTGGCATTGAACGTAAAGAAAAATAGATAAGAATTCCGTTCTTGAAGCCAAAGTTCATTCTCTGGCCAAAAAACCTCGAACGAAAGCTTCCCATAATTGCTGCTAAAGTTACTCCAAAACAATGTCGTCGGCCAGACATTCTCTTTGAATTCCTAGTAGTATTCCTCATTGCATTTTCTATATTTTCTCTTTATTTAGCATAAATTATCTCAAGCACATTAAGGCAGTGTTTCTCTTAACCATATTTATCATATTTTCTTGGCATTTAACCCCAAGAAAAATAGATAAGAATTCCATTTTTTTTAGTTTGATTTGAGTTATTTAGTTTTTGGGTAAAAATTCCATCTTTTTTCTAGTCAAATCTACCTTTATTTTTAGGTTTTAATAATAATAAAAATAAATAAACAAAGAATAATTATAAAAATATATATATATACATACATCAAAATAATAATAATAATAATTCATAAATAATTAACGAAAAAGTATACTTAAAAATAAAAATAAAATTTTTCCACCCCTCTCCACTAACCTTTCATCCCAACAGCATCCTCTTTACTCAGCCCCACAATATCTTCGTCCAAAATAAACGTTTCAACCGAAGATGAAGATTTACCTAGAGATTTTGGTCTGTTATTACCGTAAAATATCTCAGATTTCTCGTTTATAGTTATGGTTATAAGAAATTAATTTAGGATCAAATATTTTTTTATATTTTACCAGATCATGTAATAATCAGATCACAATTCAATTAATTAGATTTTTTTATTAGCAACTTATAAGAAATAAAGTTAGAATCAATAAAATTTTAGTTAGATTCATAAATATGTGAAGATAGTAACTAAACAATGATTAAAATTGGCCAATAATATCAGTTTAAAAATGAAAATAAATATAGAGTTAGAGTAATATCTTATTTACATAATTGAAAATGTTTTCAGAACTCAAAATCTATTTACAGAATCAAAATAATTACAAAGAGGGAGGAGGGAATATTGAGAGACGATTTGTTGAATAGAATAAAATATATATATATATATATATATATAAGACGACATGGAACTCCATTAAATTTTGTCCAACAGTAAATATCATAATTTTAACAATGTAAATTAGAAAAATAATTTATAGAGTTCAAACTTGGAACGGATGTCATGGACTCACATAGCTTGACTTAGATTTCAAAGAACGGAATCAAACTTTCATTAAGGATATATACGTGACAACGACTTAAGCTAACCAGGTAAGTGACCTTACTATCGGCATGGTTATATTTGATGTTGATACGTGCCCCGTGGTTCTGCATGTGTCATATATATTGATATGTGTGTATTGTCTGTGGATCGATATGCTTCTTATATGTTATGCATATGTTATAATATGTGAATTGTATGGTATGATGTGTTCAGTGATATGTTTGAGATAGAATACGAGAAAGATGCACAAAACTAAATGTAACGACAGAAGTAAAATACGTTCATAAAACGTTAAGGCTAGATTACAAACCAAAGTGATATGGATAAGAGAGATTGATGAAAGAATACGGTTAGATTACGGGTAGAAAGGGATAGGTTTGTGATAGATTGATAGAACGATAGCGTTAGGATACATTATTGTGATGATATGACTAAGGTACATTCACGTAATGATATGTCTGTGATAGGTGTAAGAACGTTAAGGCTATGATCAATTAGAGAACAATATGACTACGAAGTGTTTATGTTATGACTTGTTTATGATATGATATATTGTGATGCAATATGTCATGGTATGATATGCATATGATGAAATGTTATGTTAAAAGCATAGAAAGTTATGTTAGGTCTCTTAAATTGTGTGTATACGACATGATGTGAATGACATAAAATCACGATAAATGACATGAAATATAACCCCGTTAGAATTATGTATGATTTTAGAACTGAAGAGTGAGAAACAATATGATATGAATGACGAACAATATC